ATAATTTTGATTATGGAATTGAAATTGCCAATTATAATTTTGACTTAACATACATGACAAGTATGTAAGACATGCTCCAGTATGCATGACAAGCTATAGTATGGGGTCTCCACGATTTTCAAGTCGTATTCTGAATGCTCAATAACCACAATGGTTATTAATAACAAGTATCTCACTAGTGTTCCTTTCGATAAAGGTGGGTGGCATTAGAAGTCAACTTTGATCTGAAGTCGGGTTGATCAAATCAAGCACACTGTTCATTCTATCGTCCCATCTTGGAATCATAAGACTACTAAATCCTAATACAGTTCAACATCAATATTAACAATAATATGGCTATAACAAGTCAATGTCGATCCCATACTCTGGTTGATCCTTTTCAATACTTCATAATAGAATCAAGCTCATTGTTCGTTCTATCACAAGTCTTGAAGTCATAGGACTGCTCTTGATATAATGCATAACAAGAATAATAGGATGGTTGTATTATGGAGCGACCATAGTCATGTTTTCTTGTAAGATCATGAAGAATGATAGCCAAGAAATAAATAAAGGATGTTTATCATGTACTCGACAAATACAATCTTACGTAGTTCAGGTTCACATAACTTAAAGTACATATTACTTTCATAAAAGTTACAAACACTTCTACATATAAGCATATAACATATTCCACTCAAATAAATAAAGCTGCCTATAATTAAATCGAATAAACACACGCTACTGAGTAATAATACATGAGATCTGCTTTAATTTATTGTAGTCGATCCTTTCTTTGACATATAGTCGCAAAAGATTACGTACAAGGAAAAGTTGTTCGAGTACATATGCTGATACTTGCAAAGCAGGGCCGGTGCACATTTTTGACTCTTGGATATACGTAAAGTCAAGCAACAAATTTTAAATCAAAGTTAATAATTAATTTTAATCACACATTTTGTAGGATTCACGGCTTATCAATATATATTCTATCAACTTTTATCAAAATTTATTAAAAATTTGATATTTTTTTTCGTGGGCTATATTTGCAATAAAGTTGCAGGGTCCCGGCCTGACGGGATTCATGTGATGCTCTTAAAACAGCCAAGAGGATGGAAAGACGTCTGACTTGACGTGCTGACACATACACCACTCACAGTGACACAGTTGTGTCTGTTGGAAGGAAACTGCTGTAATTTACAGAAGCAGATAATCATGGTAGACACAAAAACATAAATGGACAAATATTTACCTTCAAAAACCATGCAATGAGGCCTCAGCCATGTCTATGTTTTTTACCATTCATGAATCTTGATACTTATATTCTCGTTTTCTGCAGCTAAATGTCAAATGTACGATCGTAATTTATAGTGACATTTTCATGTTAGTTCGTTATCAAGTGTTGGTTGATGTTTCTTTTATGTGATCAGTCAGATAAGGTTTTATAATGAAAATGTCTTATGTAGTCATTCATTGGTTTAAATTTGCTCGATTATCATTTTGAAACAGAATAAGTGATTAACATAATTGGATTTATAGGTTAATAAAGGCTATATTGTGGGAGTGCCATTTATGCAGCGAAATGGAAAATTTGCACATAGTTTGCCACTTAATTTTATTTTATTTTTTGGCAGCATTGCTCTCAAATCTTTTTTGGGCCATAGTCCAATAAACACACATAAAATCGCCTTCGAACTTTGTTGGATGTTGCATTCATGGAACTAGTTCTATGGTATTGTCACATCCGTAAATAACCAACACGAAGATTTGCGATGCAAATCAATCTAGGCTCTATAGTGTTGTCACCAAGGTTTGCACACTGAGTGCACCCTGCAACGGGACTATATGGACTTTATGTAGTGCCTCTATCGAGCTAATCGTACAACTTGTCCGGTCCATGATCCATCGATTAGGTCTATAGCTCGACCCCACAACTCAACTAGACATCCTTGTGTCATTTTTGCTAATGAAACATCTCTGTGTGTGTGTTGCAAAAAGTGAGAGAATTGAGGGAAAAGGGGGGCAAGACTGTGACAAGACGAGGGAGCTAGTGGGGACTAATTTGATACTCCATTTTCCTAATATTTTCCCATTCCCCCACCAGTAAAAGTGGGACACATCAACCCAACAACAAGAGCCTAAAACTAATTGTGTTTGGAATTAAACTCCTTGTTCAGATGAAATGTACAGAAAGCATTACAAATGTATAGGTGACAATATTGTATTGGCTGGTTGAACTGTATTTTTTGTTTAACATCCAATTAAATCTTAACAGCTAGCAATCTATCGAAAAAACTATCAACTATTCTTGTACATGTAGCAAAAATTGTTGTGTTTGATATACTTGTACTGTCTCCTATTTTATATCTATCTTTTTCTTTTCAAATTCCTGTTCATAACAGCTAGGTTTGACAAGACATGAAGCATTAAAATGATACTTTGTTTCTGAGCATGCTCTGTAAATGTGTAATGGAAGCCTCATGAGGATAATGATAATAATGTAATTATGTGGATAAGTTTTGCATTCTTTTAAGAGTGTTGAATTCAAAACAGTTGTATAGAGAGAGATTATACACCCTATAATATCTTTTAAGGGATTGCTTGATAATAGTAGAGGATAAATGTGCTTTGCTTTTTAGATCATGTCCATCATTGCATTTGTTCTTGTTTGTTTCTACGAATATTTCGGTCTACGTCCTATTAGCAAATATTCAACTGAGAACTAGTCACTTTTTGTTCTTCCATCGAGAGAGGAACTTTAGGGTCTGTTCTCTTTACCATTTTAAATCCGTTTTCTATTTTCGATTTTTCAAAACAGTGAAAACGCGTTCTCTTTCCTATTTTCAAAAACCTTTTTTTGAAAACAAGTTAAAAATTTACAAAGAAAACCCATTTGTCGTTTTGAATGTTTTCAGTTATAATCAAGCAAAAATTTTCAACAAGCCTTTTGGGTGTTTTCAAAACAAATTTTCAAAATGTCAAAAAGAACACATTTTTAACAACTCAAAATGAACACTCAAAATACAAAACTGAAACACAAAGAGAACGACCCCTTAGTTTTTTAATTGTTCATCGTTAATCTCTTATCAATTATGAATAGTCCCTTTTTATTGAGATCTAAAGCAAGTAGTGTATAACTTCTATCTTTGCAAATTGAGGCCATGAAAATCAAAAGATGAAAAATCAGCACTTGCACATGGGTTAGCTAATCTTAAGGATCGAGGATGCCTGGGAAATATCGGGTACCATGTTTAGCATGTGCTCCAAAGGAAAATTGGGCTCAAATTTGAGAACCGGGATGCAATAGTCGACAACAATGTTAGGGAGTTTAAAGGCTTTGTCAAGTCTCTACTCCTTTTATAGTAATACAACGTGCAATTGACCTACTTTTAGACTGAAAAAACACTAGTTCAATCCGATTCTGATAACTACGGTTATACTGCCATCATTTGAATATCCAGTATAACAAGCAGCTATATAGTTGTCACATTATTTCAAACAGTATCCAACATCGTACCCAAAAATTCCATATTGATAAGGGTGAGATTCATTACTCATATTAGTAGCAAGGGTGCTATTCCAAGAGAGGGTCAAAGTGACAAGTTCAAAGAATGCCAATTCTGGTACCCATCTCTCTCTCTCTCTCACACACAAGAAAGCCCAAGAAAATTTTCCCAGTAGAGACAGTATTGTTACAAAATTCAAAATTATTTTATAAAAGTTAAAGAATGCATGAGTTATCCAAGATTCAGTATATGAATAGTGAGGAAACATCTAAGACTTTGTTGTAAGGTATTGCCAATCAATTAACTGGAGAAACTATATTTCCACACTTAAATAGCCAAACAAGATTATAATTATTTGCAAATTCAGAACATAATTAGCAAAGAAAAAATGGGGATCGAGCAAAGTTGACAACATTGTGTTAAGTATTCAGCAAGAAAAGTCGAGTGCCATCATAATAGATCAAGTTTGCCCCAGTCAATATTCACATCATCAAATTTCGACTGAATAATGCAGATGATAAGAGTACTTCAAAAAAAAAAAAAAATGAGGTGCAATTTCGCATCCTTGCAACGGGTTCTAAACAGGGTACTTCAGTATAATATCGGACAATCAAATATGCTACTGTAAGTTGACAAACTTGAAAATGGAGGCTAAATATATGATAAAAGTACATTATACATTACTTAGCCTATGTTTGCCTCATGCTTAAAAACACTCAAGCCACAATCTATCAATGTTCTAAAAAGCATAAAGCATAAGCCGTGGAGGTAGAGTCTCAAGCTTTACACACCAGGAGTGCCAAGATGAAGCCTAGGTATAATAAAGAGTTTTCCTACTTTTAATATTGTTTTAATTATTTTAGACCAATAAATAAAATAATGCATAACATGAAAATTTATAGAAACTTCATACATATTTTTCAAGTTCCCAACAAAAACATAATAATTCTCAAAATCACAAATACGACAAATCAATAATGCTTTAATCATGGGCCAAAAAAGCTGCGTTCGTGAGCCAGATTCAGCTTTACAAATCGACAATTAATCAGTAAGGGAGGGTTGGGTGAGAACAGTGGGGATGCGGAGATGAAGGAAAATTTCCGGAGTACATGGTGCTGAAAATCATGAAACAACTTTAGCACATTATAAGATCTGTAAGAACAATAGAGCAATTCCAGTTTAAGCTATCTACCTCCTACCTTTGGAAGTTTTCTGGAAAATAATTATTTTAAATTAGCAAAATCAAGAATCAGAATTGATTACAAGCTTTTAAGCTGCTTTGTCCTAATCAAATGAAACAGATGTAAAACTACAAAACAATGGGTCAGTTACCCACGCTATCTCCGACACAAAATGTCAGCTTAGAGTGATGAACATATGTAACACCAGAACAGAAAGATATTAAACAATACAAACATGCATTCAATTGTTTGAAAGTTCACCAAATCTTCACAAATATGAATCTTCTTGGTACGAGGAACATCCTTTTCGGGTAAGTGAAACTTGGAGGCAACTTTACACGGATTGCATGTCATGTGCTAGTAAGGCATCCTGCAAGCACTTTACTGCCCCATCATAATTCAGAAAACCCAAGTACCAAAATTCATGGCTATCAACAGATATAATCTGGATATACTTTTCAGCTGTATTAGTTCTGCTTGATGAAGGGTTAACAGCTTTGAGTTGATGTAATGGGATAACTACCTGTTCACAATGTTTGTGGACAAAAAAAAAGTAATATCAGCAGCTATGACGCAATTTTTCGAATGAATAATTAACTGATGTTATCTGAAATGTACAGATGAATCCAGGTAACTCAGTGATGACAATAATGAGAAGTTCAAGAACAAATTATGTCGCCTTGATAAATAAAAAAAATACAAAAGTAAGCAAAAGATAAAACCTACAAGCTACAATTGTAGGTGTACACAGCACCAAGTTATTACAGAGAACGTGTAGTACAAACTGGGCTTTTTAAGGTTAAATAAAAAGGGCGATAAATCTACATATTGTAATGTACATTCTATGGTAGAAGACAAATCAAAAATGACAAGCAATGATTTTTATATGCTCAAATGCTCGTCCTTGCCAAAACATCCACTTCATCCTTGAATAAGGAAAGGAGAAAGACAATATTATTGAGAATGTTATCACGTCTAACACCACTTCTCCATAGAACTTTGTTATCAGCTCAATCACTCCTGTCTGCACCAGAGAGAGAGAGATGGGAATAATGCTCAAGATGAGAACGCGAGGGTATGTCTGAGAGTGACTGAAGGTCATGGAGAAAAACATTGTTAGCACTTGATGAGTCCTGATTTGATATATCAACCATGTGATCTGAGTGCATACAGCTTTTAATAACATGCATTTCCGTAATTGTAAAACAAAGTACATTAAACAATTTTTCCACGATCCAACAAGAAAGTAACCAAATAACATGGTTTAAAAAGGCGGTAGTGAGGCGTGCCTCTCACTGTGAGGCCCATGTAGTATGCCTCGATGAGGTATTTTTGAAACTAAAAATATGAGACTCACGCCTCTAAATCTGAGGCGCACGCCTCAAGGCGCGACTCACTACTGCATTTTGTAGAAATTGAGAGTAGCGAAGAGGAAGATGATGAGGAAATTAGATATGATGATGATTTCATTAACGATGCTAGTAATAGTGATGATAGTGCAGACTATTAGGTTTTTTTTAATTTAAGCTGCTTCTTTTTTTCCATTGCAAATAGAGTGATTTCTAACTTCTGTAATACTTTTTTTTTTTGCTAAGCATCTTCTTTCTTTAGGTGGACTATATCTAAATACGCTAATGGCTATATATCCTATTTACTATATGCTCCAACTTTGATATTTTTGTATTTTTGTATTATTTTATAATTCTTTTATTTAGATTTTTTGTTTTTTGTGAGGCTTACGCCTCAATCCGCCTCGAGGCTCACGCCTCGCCTCATAAATAAAAACTGTCTCAGTACTTAGTTTCGTCTTTTTAAACCTTGCCAAATAATAAAGTCATTTGCACCTGTATCAACATCTAAATACAAATGAAGGAAGAATATTTATGTAAGTTCTTATTTGAATTCTGAATTTCATATGCAAGTCAAGAAAATTGAAATTAGTTACTATAAAATAAACTATTCGAGTACTGATCCAAGAGAACTGACAACTATGCTTATAAGTAACTTATAAGATGGATTTTGAAAAGTAGGTAGACCCACACTTGTTCAAAAACCATCTTATAAGTTACTTATAAGCTCCACCCAAACATGTATCAAACTACAAACTCCAAAGAATCCAAACATACCTTATAATAGCTCCATTCTGTCTTGTCGCTGGCTTTGTACGAAAGTGGATTATCGCTACAAAATGCAAGCTTTGCAGTTGATACATATAAAACACCCATGACCGGACCGGCTGACGTGGATAAGTAACATGCAAATGAATTATGGAGTTTCTCCTCAGGAACTGTCTCAAATGTTTGCCGAAATATTTTCTCATAGCCACCTTCTACTAGAACCTTTGTTCCCTGTGCAATTCTTCCCACAGCAGCATCAGCTAGACTAGGGCTGGTTTTCACTAAGAGACAAAAGGACATTTAGTGATTTCAGTGCACAAGGGTTCTCCATAAGGAGAGGAACAGAAAGTCTATGGAATATTAGAAAGAAATCTGGAAAATCAAGAGTTCAGTAATGTTTTTATCTTGGTTGTTGAAATAAAATCTATTCCAACTTGTATGGACAATTTTGTAGCTCTTTAAATAATCTGAGCTTGGTTTTGTCTTTTTCCTTAAACTTTCTTCTCAGTACTTCTAGTATCCAGAGTTCAGCCATTAATTACGAAATGTGATGTTAAGCAACAAATCAAAATGGATATGTCGTTATTATCATGTTGTAGTGAAAGATTTTCAGAGTAATAAACGATTCTATATAACCAAGCAAAACATTATATACTATTTGCTTTCAACCACATGGGTTCTCCAAATAATCTGCCTTCCCCGTAGGCATCTGATCATTCAAGATCACTTTGACTTCATCCGTAATTCAATGACCCATTGTCCAGCAACCAACACCACCCCCAGCAACATCATGGTCCAACTCTAGTGGTTATGATTCTTAAGAAACTGCTGCTGGTTGAAGAGGAGAAAGAAAATTATTCTTGAAAATAACGCAAAAATTTAATCTTCCTTTGCCTCTTATAGTTGCCGTAACCAACCTACCATTTATTTTCTCACAGCCCATTTTGATCCTAAATATTTAGAGGTCAACCCACAAAAGAATGAACCCACTTGTTTGAATTACCCTAATAATTTTAGCTATCCATTAATCATCAGAGTTCTTGTGCATTCCAAACAAGGAATCAATTTGATGGGGTTGACTACCAAGTTCCAATGGGGACAATCAGAGTTCGATGTGAATTTATTTATTTATTTTTAAAAAAAAATCATGAGCTAAATTCATTATTACATGTCGTTATTATCATGTTCTCTTCCCTACGTCTTTTTATATGAATTTTAGTATTTTCATATATTACATCATGAGCTAAATTCATTATCTAGGGTTTGATTGTAGCCAAAAACTTGAAAATATGGATTGATTAGAAATAATTATATAATTGAGAATCATATTTAATAGTTAGGTGACGTCATAACCCTAGACTTTCTCATTTGATAATTCTTCTAACTTGCATTTATTTGTTGAATTCGTCACCATATTAGTTTAAAAATATTTATTATAACATTCATTCATCTAGATAAAATAGAGGCTATATAATTATAGTATTTAGCAGGAATTTGAATTACAATCCCTGTGAGTTCGACACTCTAACTCCATTACTATATTACAAAACTTGACACTGTACACTTGCGGCATAAATCACGTTATAGAAAACACGTGACATGCACTAAGGCCAGCAAGCATTGATTTCAAAGTAATCTCATGTTGATACGAGATTCAACTTTAGAAGACTCGAACAACACTTCCTCAATAAGGATTAACCTTTAAATAACATTAAACACAAAATGAAACCTGCTTGCCTGATTTAAAAAAAAAAAAAAGGAACTGTCGCCACTACGAGCAGGAAAGGTTGGAGGATATGTAAAGATTTGAAAGACACGTGTGACCAAGTTGGTGGTGTTAAATTTTTCTGCAATTTTTTTTTACTTCTTTTCTCAATAGTTACAATAAAAGATGCATTTTTTGCTGAAAATCATTTCTTAGTATCTCACGGGTATTAGCCTACAAGTTATTAACAATAAAAGCTCTACTTCATGCTTTCTGGTGCTGTTTCTATTATTTGTCCTTCAATTACTTTCCTAATGCTTATCATTTGTTTCTGCCATATGGTTCATAAGCACGAACATATCTGTTGATCATTATGTATGGTAGCTCTTTGAAAGGAAGTCGAAGCTGGAAATGATTCCAGAGTCATAAAAAGGATCAAACTCGTACCTATTATTTAATAAGAAAATCATCATCATTGTTTCCCCGTCTTCTTCATTCTGATAGTGCACCAAGGTGGTGCAGCCCATTTACATGAAGGTAACATCATTCGTATGTCCATAAAATCCATGTGAGTCGTAAAAATCATCTTATCTTTTTTTTTTTTCCATATTTATGCAATTTTTTATTTCTCTATGGATCAAAAATCAAGACCACCGGGGAGCAACCAACCCAAACCTAGAGGCTCCAGGGCCTGAAATAGTCTTTGAATGCCTAGGTAGTAGTATAAACTTGTAAGGTGTTGTGCATCTCCATAAATTTCCCTATACACACTAGCGAATGGCATAAAATATTTTCTGTTCGCGGATTGAGTAAAAACACAAACACATAGTGTTGTATATAAGCATTCATTGTTGCTTTCATTGAGTAAAAAAGCTTGCTAACAAAGCTGGGGTAATTTTCTTTTGTAAAGCCCTGAGCTGCTTCTCATTTCCTCGAGACCTATAAAATTTGGAAGGAGGCTCTTTATTTTTAGCTATTTTTACGTGGATGATGGCTGTGAGCACAAGATTGGTGGGTGGTATAAGTGAAGGCAGTTGATGATTAAGGTGAACTTGATACCTTACATGTTTTTGCATCTATTAGTTGACAGATGGAAAGGGATGCAAAAAGGTGGAGGCCTGAAGAAAGGTAAGAGACAGTAAGAGAAGGAGAGCAATTGGAATGTGCTCATATATGAATGTTGGCATATTTCTATCATAAAAAATTGGACCAGGGAACTAAGAAAAATGTGTAACATCATGCTAAACCTATCACTATCTAAACGGGAAGAAAGGAGAGGTCAGGTAATTTCAGAAAGAAGAGAGAAGTTCCTTTGTCAGAGAATAGTTTTATCTTATATGTGTTTTCCATCATAACAACAAATAAATAGAAGATAGAAATAGAAAAAAAGGAGATGGATTTCCCATGTTTGGCATGACCATGAGGCCATAAATAATGAGTTCAACTAAATTCAATTCGACAGGTTCAATAAGAACAAAATGAATATTCACAATGCCCAAAATTAACCCCATCCACCCTATTCAATACACATCTGCACTTACAGTGTGTGAACTCCAAATCAAGCCTCACATATCAGCCCAGGCGTCTAACCATAACAATCCACCCATCCCTCTTAAGTCTTAACTCTCCAATGTGTGATGCGTTTGCTGTGCGTGTATATTGGAATAAATTTCTCAGTTTCTAAAAGTTCATTTACATATGTTCAAGTCAACATACACCAATTCCATCTATAAGGCTTTTTTCTCTAAAAAGGTAATGGAGCCATCGTGGGACGTATAAAAAAGAACTTCCTGCTCACAGTATTCGTTCAATGCACTTGAAAATCAAATTGTGGGGAATTTATGTAAGTAGCAAAAATTAGTAGCAGATTTGAAATATGTCCAATTTTATAAACTTTTGCAAGAATAACCATTTTTTGGCAAAAATTGTCATTTGTACCATTTTCCTTCTATTTGTCCAATATATATGTTATTTTACATTCAAACAACTTCTGAGATGAAAAGAGTAGCTTCTAAGAGAAGCAATCTACAAATACATGCCATTATCCACAACATAATGCTCATCAACAAAAGTTACAAAATGTCTTTCATTTCCATCATATTTGTTCAACTTTGAAACACTAATATCTTTTCATTTTTTAATGATATTTATGCATTGTCCTTGGACGTTAAACCTACAGTTTTTGAACCATCCATCTAGAAAGTTTTATGTTCTAATCCCTAGACGGTTTAAAATTAGACTGTTTAGAATGATAGTTCAATTGTCGATCCACACAGCCCACACATATGCAGAGAGAAATATAGATATATTGGGGTTTCAAAAGATGCCTTGACAAGCAAGGAGAGAGAGAAACTTCATTTCGGGTTAAGTGTGAGTGATTAAAGATAGAAAGCTTTATTGAGTTTTTTATTATTAACTGTGTAAGTAAAGGTGTATGTTTAGATTAAAGAGGTTATCACTTTTCAAATGAAGATACAAAATTATAATTTAGAAAAGTTGTTCAAAATTTTTGAATTGGATAGATTTCGAAATGTATAGTGAGAAGTGGACATTTTGTGCAATTTCCTCTGAAAACAAACTAAAATATAGGAAAAACTCACAGTGCTGCCAAGTATTCCCAGCAAGATCCTCAGCCTTCCTTGTTGCTTCTCCCACCTTCTTTCCCCATCTCCCTAACACATCCTTTACATTTTCCATTGTACCTAAAAAGAAAAGGCAAACATTCAACATTTTTACACAAGTTTTTCTATGCCTTCAAATTAACATCTCTAATGTAGATCACTTCTATCAAAATCAACTTCATAAATCCATTTTTAACATAATCAAATTCAAGATAAAACTATAAAAACATTTACCAACTCATTTACCAACAAATATCATAAGTAAAAGTAAAAACATTTAAAACAGTCCAGGCTAGATTTCCTGAATACCTTCGAATTACAAAAGAAAATATGCCAACTCGAGCTAATTTAGCTCTAATTGAATAAATAAGAGCTTTTTTAATTCAAATACTGTGCATGAAACCTAACATATTCATACAAAATCCATACCAATTCATTCAAATACACTTTCTTTTTAGCACACACAAGGACACACATATTGAGTAAAACCCACCTCAATCCAATATCAAAACACATAAATCCCAACAAAAATCCAATATTTAATAGCAGAAGCAGTTTAACGAATAACCGTAGCCCCAAAAAAAAAAAACACACATACACAAAAATACCACAAACGTATGTATTCGAATACTGACTTTTGAAATTTAAGGACGAGGAATCGCTAGAAGGCGCTGGGGAGTAAGCAACGTATGGATTGGATCCGCGATCGTAATCCCTATGCACCGGCGATTCCGTCACCAATTCCTCGCTCCACCTCACCGATTTTTTCGATTTCAATTCTTTATTATCATCACTACTCTCCTCAGTTATATTCACATTAATATTGGCATTATCTCCTTGTTTTCCTGCCTCCACTTTTGCTTCACCCTTCGGCGTCGGGTCCGGGTCGGGTCCCGGAATCGGGTTCGGATATTTACCCGGTGTATTCTGATCTGGCTCCAAAGACACCGCTTCCATTTCACCATTATCGTCTTTATCGATCGGATTCGACCGCTCCATCGTTTTCAAGAATTTGGAATTTGGGGATCAAATGGGAAACTAGATTTTACATTCAGAACGCGTGGGTTGGCGCGTGAAGGTAAAGATTTGGCTGTTGGAATTGGGCAATTATACTTTATGTACGTAAAAAAAGTGTACAATATCCTATCCTTCACATACTTTGAGAAAAAATTATGTACACCAAGTAAGTCCGAAATTGGGACGGAAACACCGGTAATGATGGTGATTGTAGTCTGGTGAGTAGTGACCAGGTAACCAATAAAGGTTGGCTGCTGGAATTCTGACCTCAATTAGCGGACAAACAACTATTATTAGCTTCGTTTGAACCACATTTTATTATTATTATTGTTATTATTTTAAATTTATTTTAATAAAATAATTTTTCTTTTAAATTCAAAAATTTTCTCTACTTTTTACTCACACGTTCTCTAAAAAATACTATTTAAAACATAATTTTTTTCAAATTAAAGCCCACCAAACATGGACATGATCCAAACATTTTTATAGTTAGCACATATACATAAATCATAAGTCACCAAAGAGCAAAGGGGAAAATCATGGGACAAAATGAAAAAAATTACAACTGATGCTAACACGACTCCAGATATATTGGTCGATCGACTATAATTTGTAAAACTCAGTCGTAATTTTGCCAAGATNATAATTTATTTTTATTGTCCATATTCATTATATTTAAACAAATAAATTTAGTTGCTATTTTCTATTAGAACTAACGAAAATGTTCATTTAAAGTATTGAATTCTTAAAAAAAAAAAAATTTTTTTTTTTAACGGGGCGGGGACCCCGTTACCCGTCCCTGCCCCGTCCCCGCCTCGGGGAATAATTATTCCCCGCCCCATCCCCGTCCCGTTACCCGTTTAAGCGGGTTTTCCTCTCCCCGTTCGGGACGGGTCCCCGCGGGTATCGGGTTTGTCAGGTTTTTTTGCCATCTCTAATGGCAAAAGACGTGATTAATGTAGGGATGACAAAAAAAAATTTGACAAACCCGATACTCACAGGTTCAGTCCCGAACTGGACGAGGATTACCCACTTAATCGAGTATTTGGATAGAGGATGGGGCGGGTACGGGTAACAGCCTGTTTAATTTTTTTTTTAGAATCAAATACTTCAAATAGAAAATTTCACGAAATATCATTAGTTTTGATAGAAATGGCAACTAACATTATCTAAAAAATATGACAAACAATAAAAATCTTAGTTTACCAAATATATTTGAATAATTTAATTTTTAAAAATAAATTTAAAATATATTATTATTATCTCATTTTAATGAATTTGGGCAATAAAATTAATTATCAAAAGCTTTAAAAAAAATTAAATGGGACAATAAATAGGGCAAGGGCTTCGTCTCTCCCCTCTCATCGCCTTAAACGGATAACAGGGTGGGGACGGTGATAGGGGAGGTTGCCGTGATCATGACCCTCTTCGTTGTCGTCCCTAGATTACTGCAGATCTAAGCGTCAAAAGATGTGATTAATGTGAGTCTAACCATAAAAGGTGTGCGCCATTTGATTTGTTCCTCTTTGATTTTATTAGTACTGATTTTGTATGCAGTATCTTGATTTTTATATTTAGGGTTTTGTTCTTTTGCTATATTTTGGGTGTTTGCTGAACTATGTGTGGTTCGTGTGATGATTCTCTGGAAAAAGATTGTAAGAGAATTTTCAATCGTGTTCTAAATTAGATTTAAATTATAATTTAAATTTTCAAAATGGTCAAAAATATCTTCAATGGAGAAAAGTATAGGAAATACAAAATGCATTTTTTGGTAGAAAACGTACAAAAAGATGTAAATTTATATCTATTTTTAGATCTATCTTTGGGACCCACTAGAATCAACAACCTACCAATCCACTTGCACCAAATATTTCTCAAATCTTCCCATTTGAGCATATTTTGGATTTAGATTCACAAAGACGTAAATGATGATGTAAAAGTGATTGTTTTTTTTTTTGATAATAAACAGCAATTCATTCAACCTTAATCAATCATCATCCATACAAGAATTGGCATCAAGCCATAGGAAATTTTGAAGGAAATATGGAAGATGATCCCACCATACAGAAATATCAACAACATTCCTAGCCAATGCATGAGCTACAGAATTGCCCATCCGATTAACATGTTGAATTTGGACTTCCTGAAATCTGGACAAGAGTTGCTTGACATTAGCAATAATATAACCTGCAGTAGCTAAAGAATCTGGGGAAGCCTGCAATTCTTGAACAAGCAGAAGACAATCAGTTTCGATCACTATCTTGGGAATGTCAAATGGTATACATAGCTGCAAACCCTGAAGTAATGCAAGAGCTTCAATGGTGGCCGCCTCATCAACATCATCCTCCCTTTTTGTTGCAGTCATTAACACTTCTCCAGAAGCATCCCGTAGAACCACTCCCACACCAGCTTTTCGGATATCCTCAAAAATAGCTCCGTCGACATTCATTTTAACAAAGTCATCCGGAGGTTGATGTAAAAGTGATTTTGAAGATATAATATATACCTAATTTTACACCATTTAAGATGCTCTAAGGATGAGATTACTAGAACTTCTTAGTGTGCTCTCTTAAAAATTGAGGGAAATTAAGAAAATTTTGCTTGGTTTTACAAAAGGATATGTCAAAGGTTTTCGAATTTCTCCATGATCTGAATTTTGAATTTTTGGTCTTATATTATAATTTATTTTTTAGTATGGATTTTTTTTTTTTTGGCTATATTTTGTTAATTTTCAACTATTAATTATGATATCTTATTGTCTGGTTCATTCTCTTGATTGTTTGAAATTGTTCATGTTATTTGATTGTATGGTTAATGATTCATCCAAACGTGCATTAATGAATTCATTAGAGCTTGTTTCACAATCAATTTGGTAGGAAAAAAGAATTTTAAATAGTGATTTTTTAGAAGAATATGTGGTTAAAAAGTGAAATTTTTTTTATATACGTATAAAATATTTTATTATATGAATGTATAATTAAAAATGATCATGTAACAAATCATAAAATATATTAGGGAACGTCAAATATGTTCTTAGTATAATTGGGCCACAAATCTAGTCCCATGTAAGTCCACGCGGTCTAGCTCCCCGGCCGTTGGGTGTTGATATTCAAATGGGCGGCTTAAGGTGATTTGGTGACCCAATATGGCAGCCAACTCCACAATCAAGCCCACAAGTCTTGAAAATAGTGGAAATTACATTACACCACACAACTCTTAAATAAAAATTTCAGAATATACATATCACTACTTTTATTCCTAGAAATACTGGAAACTAATAGTATATTAGATTTTTCAAGAATCACATAACTCCCTAATATAATTTAATGTATCATCCGTAGATCACTCTAAATTAATTATTGAGCAACTTACAAGAATACCCTTAAAATTAAGGGTCTTTTGAAAATCATATGAAACATATTTTGGAAGTTAAACATATTATGTAAAATCAATTGTCACCTTTTTTAATAGAAAAAGTGACACGGTAAAAAAAAGTGACACTGAAAAAGTGACTCACTGTCACTTTTTAAAGTTAAATGTCA